CAAATAGATGGGGAAATAGGAAACATGTCACAAGGTGGGACAAGTAATACAGCATGTAGGAGATCAAGAAGACCTCCAGCATGGCTAAGGGATTATGAAAGCGGTGAAGGCCTAAGCGGCCAAGAAGAAACTGGACATATGGCATATATGGAAATAGAAGACACAAATGACCCCATGTATTTTGAAGATGCTATAAAAGAAGAAAAGTAGAGAAAAGCCATGAACAAAGAGATAAGCTCAATTGAAAAAAGAAAAAAAAACAACACTTCGAGCTTAACTCACTTGTTGAAAGGAGCAAAGAAGGTTGGTGTCAAATGGATCTACAAGACCAAATGTGATGAACATGGAGATGTGATCAAACAAAAAGCCTGTCTTGTAGCAAAATGGTACTCACAAAGGGAAGGAGTCGATTACATAGAAGTTTATGCACCTATAGCAAGACTCGGTACAATACGCACCATCATCGCCTTGGCAGCCAATAGGAAATGGAATGCTTATCAATTGATGTAAAATCAGCTTCTTGCATGGTACGTTGAATGAGAATGTATACATTGAGCAACCAAAGGGTTATGAGCGGGAAGGAAAAGAACAAATGGTGTATAAGCTTCACAAAACATTGTATGGACTAAAACAAGCTCCACAAGCTTGGTTCAGTCGCATTGAAGCTTATTTCTTGAAGGAATGGTTTGAAAAATATGTTACGGAACAAGTGTTGTTTATCAAGAAAGGTAGTGATGGACACTTAATTATTGTAAGTGTTTATGTAGATGACTTGTTGATTACATGAGATAACCGTTAACTGTTGTTAAGCTTCAAGAAATCAATGATGAAAGAGTTTGAAATGATCGATCTAGGAAAGATGAGCTATTTTTTGGGAATTGAGACTATACAAAAGGAAGAAGGTTTTTTTTATTTGTCAAAGGAAATATGCAATTAAAGTTCTGAAAAGGTTTGGCATGTACGAAAGCAAAGAGGTATGTACTCCAATTGTCTCAGGTTCAAGGCTTACCGAAGATTTACATTGAAAAGAAATTGATAAAACATGGTACAAACAACTTGTGGGAAGTCTGTTCTATTTGACTTCCACAAGGCCAGATATGACATATGTTACAAGCTGGTTGAGTAGATATATGAGCAGGCCAACATAAATATACCTCCACGCAGCGAAAAGAAATCTTAGATACCTTAAAGGGTCTGTGAACTTTGGTATGTTTTTTATAAACATTCGGCTCCAAGCAAGTTCAGTGATTTTGTGAGCTACACTATCAGTGATCATGCAGGAGATGAGGATGATAGTAGAAGCTTTGTGGGCTACACCGACAGTAATCATGTAGGATATGAGGATGATAGCAGAAGCACAAGCGTGTATGTTTTTATGTTCAACTATAAAGTTGTTTCATGGAGCTTAAAGAAGCAACCAATTGTAACCTTATCTTCCACAGAAGCGGAATATGTAGCAGTTGTGTCAGGAGCATGTCAAGTAGTTTGGTTGAATTGAATTTTGGAGCATCTTGGTGTTGATGATGGTGAAAGTTCAAGCATCATGTGTGACAACACATCGGCTATAAAGTTGTCACGAAATCCAATTTTTCATGGACGAAGCACACATATACGAGTACGTTATCATTTCCTTAGAGAACTTGTAAATGAAGGTGCTATAGAATTGTTACATTGTTGAAGTTATGAACAAGTTGCGGATATAATGACAAAACCAATCAAAGCATAGGCATTGCAAAATTCATGATGGGATGTGTGAAGTCAACAATGTAAGTTGATCAAGTTCTACTGTATTCAGCTTAGGGAAGGGTATGAAGAGGTCTTTATTTTGTCCAGGTCCTTAGTTTATTATTTGAATAAGTTTCCTAGTATTACATTTAGAATAAGTCTTCAGTTATTTTAGGAATATCTTTTATTTGTTTGATATATCGGTTATGTAAAGCCATTTAGCTCATTTTAATAAAGCACACAATTTGGGGCTTCAAATTAATTTCTCTCTTTACTCAATAACGGACCATTCTTTGCTAGATATTCTTTTTCTAAAAACGCATACACACATGAATTTGTAACATACATTGGATAACAATCGTTAAATTAATACATAAAATTTCTCCATGTTTCATTTGGCTTTACATTTGTATTAGCCTATGTTGTGCTAACCTTTCTATTCAGCCCAAATCTTTTTCTAATGAATAAAAATTTCGTACATACAAAGTAAGACATAACTTCGAATTCACAATGTTAAAGTCATTATATGCTCCTTGACTAAAAACATTTCCTCCTCTATTTGCTTTCTTTGTATTTATCTCATTTAATAGGTTTTTTAGAAAATTAAATGGAAATAATATGTTGTAATGAGACTACCTTCTTCATAACTTTTACACAATCACGTATGTATGTATATCCTGCGAACCAATTTCTCTAAAAAAATAATTATTTCATGCCCCACAACTTTCATCACTTTTGGATGAATATTAATTAATAATATTCTTTTTTGTTATTTTATAAAAACTACACGTATAGTTAATTTGCAGTAAAAAACCAAATGGTTAGCTAAAAAGATAAATCAGTCAAATCATAAATACATTAGAGAAAGAGAAACACCAAACCCCGTAATTTCATCATCTTAGCTTCGAAGGTAGCAAAATGGTTTCCTCCAACAACACTTCTCTTGAGTTGCACAGCAAGGATGCCATCATCATCGCCATTATTACACCAAATTATCTTGTTATTTATACTTGTTTCATTACACATTCACCATGTCACCATGGCTACCCAAATAACAATTTTCTTCGTGGTTATTATCATTTTGATTTTCAATGGGGACACTAACAGTTTGTTACTTGGTCTCAATGAAGGTCAAGTTACTGATACAACAATGCATAGGTTTGTGGATTTATCTTCATTACTATGTTTGTGTTCTAGACTTTATTTGATTTCATTATTGAATTTGCAGGGTTGATTGCAAGGGTGACGTGGAAATGGAAGATGATGCATGGATGATGGTGCAAAAAAGTGGGAACCAATTTGTGGTGAATAATCAACCGTTTTATGTAAATGGTTTCAATACATACTGGTTGATGGTATTTGCTGTGGACAACTCTACAAGAGGAAAAGTTACTCAAGTCTTTCAACAAGCATCTGATGTGGGATTGACCGTGTGTCGAACATGGGCTTTTAATGATGGTCAATGGCGCGCTCTTCAGAAAAAACCATCTGTTTATGATGAAGATGTTTTCAAGGTTTTTTTTATCTGTCATCTGTTAGGGTTTTATTCTTCACTTCACCTTTGACTAATATACGAAAGCTTACAGGCATTAGATTTTGTGGTGAGTGAAGCAAAGAAATTCAATATTAGGCTCATACTGTCGTTGACAAACAACTGGGATGCTTATGGTGGAAAACCGCAATACGTCAAATGGGGGAAGGAAGCTGGTTTAAATTTGACTAATGATGATGACTTCTTCTCTCACCCGACTCTAAAAAGCTACTACAAGTCCCATGTCAAGGCAAGTTTTCTTTTTTTAATAGAGAACTTTGTTTACCTGATTTTCATCTCACATAATGTTTTTATGGTCGAGCTGTATGAGTTGGGTCAGCTCAAAGGTTGCAAAAAGAATAACCATTTTGCAGAAACTTCCATAATTTACTTTACACGCTTCTTAACTTTGTAGACGGTGTTAAATCGAGTGAATACTGTAACCAACATGACTTACAAGGATGATCCCACTATTTTTGCTTGGGAATTGATTAATGAGCCGAGATGTGAATCAGATCCTTCGGGGGATAAACTTCAGGTACTCTTTTAGGGTTTAGGGTTTATCGATAAAAAAACATTTATGATTTGTATGCTTTGAACTAAGTATATAATACGTAATCATATAGGAATGGATAGAAGAGATGGCGGTTTATGTGAAAACAATCGATCCAAAACATTTAGTAGAAATCGGTCTTGAAGGGTTTTATGGTCCTTCAACACCTAATAAGGTTCAATACAATCCAAATACCTATGCTCAACAAGTGGGTACCGATTTCATCAGAAACCATCAAGTTCTTGGTGTTGATTTTGCTTCCGTTCATATTTATGCCGACTCTTGGTATGTCAACCGTCAACTATCAACTATCAATTGTTAATACTGTCTGTCTGACTGACAGATTCAATGGTTTTATTCAGGATTTCACCATCAATATCTTATGATCATATTGCATTCACAAAGTCATGGATGCAATCACACATTGATGATGCGGAGAACTACCTCGGGATGCCGGTTGTTTTCAGTGAGTTTGGTGTATCTAAAAAAGACCCGGGATACAACGAGTCGTTCCTCGACAACTTAATAAGCACGGTGTACAACACGTTACTTGATTCGGCCAAGAAAGGAGGGAGTGGAGGTGGGTCCCTTTTATGGCAGGTGTTTCCTGATGGAACAGAGTATATGGATGATGGGTATGCAATCATTCTTTCAAAATCTCCTTCAACATCAAGCATCATATCGCGACATTCCACAAGGCTCACGCTTTTTAATTCCTTATGCAAATGGAAGTGTCATTGGGGTTGCAAGAAAAAGCATGAGTTTGATGGAGGATTCCATTTCCTTGATGAGCTTTAAACAATGGTGGTATTTACTATTTACTTTTTACCATATGTTACAGTCGTACAATGAATCTACAAACATATGTTACATGTAAGTAATGACACTGTCTGTTTTATAAGATACACCAAAGTAATGCCATATTCCAGTCGTCTCATATTTTCTTGTGTTATTTCCACTACTCGGTTTCAACTTTCAAATTAAGTTTTATTAAATAATGACCAGCTTTTAGTTTTGTTTCACCTAGTTACCTCAAAAAATTTTAAGGGTTTTGACATCTAAACTTTTTTGTTTTTTTTTTTTTAAATTGCAATTTTTAAGAGCTTCTTCCATTGTATGTTTTCTTTTAACTATATATAAATCAATAAAACAAACTTTAATTTATGGACTTATATAATTATATATCGCAATAATCTATTTTAAGAGTTTCTTCCAATTTAAAATTTAAATTATCCATGAATAACCATAGAGACTAAGCATATCACAAATAAAATTGTAATAAAACACACTAAAATTGAAATCAGAAATACAAGTTTTTTAGAACAAATAAGTAGTACCATTAGCATGCTGGGCTTTGTCTGTGAAGAAAAGAGGCTGCAGGCTTGACATAAGTAAACCCCTGAAAGAGGTCAAATGAGCCATTTGGGCTTGATGCAGGTGAATCCAGTAGGGGCATATCCGTCCAACGTTTATCAAAATTAGCAATGCATTGATTTCCAGAAACTTCCGGACGAAAACTTGGCTGGATTTCACGTGCATCCAGTTTCTTCCAGTTTATTGGTTTGAACCATTTGTGATTCTTTATTTCATCACTTCCTGTTACCCCATTGCCTAGCCTCTTGCTTGGATCCTTTTGTAGCAACTAAAAAAAAAAGAAAAAACAATATTATTATGTGGTCAAACATGGTCAAGATTCAATTTTTTTTAGAAAATACACTTACCCCTTTTAAAAGGGCGTGTGCTTCACTTGACAAAAATGCAGGGAGCTTCATCTTATCTTTCACTATCTTTTTCTGTATTTTGTCCCTGTTTCCTCCATGAAACGGTGGCTGTTCAAGATTAAATGAGACTTGATAAGGACAAAACGGTCATTTCACTAGGAAATTTTTACCAATAAGAAAATCACAATCACCTGTCCTGTGAGCATCTCAAACAACAAGATTCCAACACTCCACCAATCAGCAGCCTTGTCATGGCCTTTACCAAGAATAATTTCAGGTGACATGTATTCTACTGTTCCACATAAAGAATTTGATCTTGCATTTTCATCAAACTCTTTTGCTAGCCCAAAATCCGTAAGCAAAGCCTAAATAAATAAACTCACATGTTTAATAAAAGAACTCTGTGTGTGTGTGTGTGTGTGTGAGAGAGAGAGAGTGAGAGAGAGAGAGAGAGAGAGAGAGAGAAAATTAACAATTTTAAAAAAATAAAAAGTACATGTCCATCCACATCAAGTAGTATATTTTCAGGCTTAAGATCCCTATGCATTATCCCATTTGCATGAAGGTGAGAAACAGCTGAAACAATCTCTGCAGCATAAATACGTGCCAAATCCTCTCTGAAACAATCATAATCATAAATTCTTAATCAGTTTATTTTATTTTTTAAAGTAACAAAAATAAATAAATAAAACTCACCGAAACAGTCCATGGTGATATAGCTGGAAAAAAAGATGTCCACCATTCACAAAGTCCAAAACGAGGTAAAGTCTATATTTTGTCTGAAAATTAAAAGTGTGAGCATAAACAGATACAAAAAGGGTAGTTTTGGAATTTAGAAAAAAAGTACCTGGAAAGAGTATCGAAGCTGGACAATAAAGGGATGATCAATCTTTGTCAAGATATCCCTCTCTGCTTTCATATACTCAGCATGATTTTTCTCCACAATCTTATCTTTTCTCACAACTTTCATTGCATATATTTCCAAACTATCTCTCTTTCTCACTTGATACACTTTACCAAAAGCCCCTTGCCCCACAACTTTCATGACTTCAAAATCTTCAAGCCCTATGCTCTTCGCCTTACAACCATTTTCAGAATCTTCTTCTTCTTCAATCTCTTTATCTATCACATCACTGAAATCCTCCAATGATTCATCCGTTTCACATATGGTTAACTTCCTTAGATTGAGCAAGTGGTTTACACATGGCGTGGGACCCACTAAAGAATGTGAACGGCTGTAAATGACCACAGGGTCATCACTTGGAATTTCAGAATTGCCAGCTGGCAGTGGGAGAGGACCAAATGTATCAGAAAAGTCCAATTCAAGAGTATCTGATGTTTCATTGGGAGGGTTTTTTGGGAATTGTAAATAGTTCTTGGAGGATTTGAATGGTTTGTTTTCAATTAAAGCAGTTAATTGAGAAGAAACCATTGTGAAAATTGGAAAACAGAAAGGAATGTTTTGTTTGTATTACAGACTATGGATGGAAAGATACTAAGATTCGAGCTGATGAAAGGCTTCTACCAATGGCTTTAATTAGAAGGAAGTTCAAGTAAACAATTGGATTTTTAAAGAAATTTGAGAGAATGCAAACCAAAGTAGAGTAAGTGGAGTTCTTCTTGTTTCCCGATTTACAGGAAACGATGGATGCAATGCTGTTTCTTGAATTCATGAAGATCTGGTCTAAATTCTGCTTACATGAAGAAACAACACACAAGTCAGAATTTGTATTTTTGTAAATATGCATCGTGATGGATTTTAGTTGTTATTGACTTATTTCAGTATGTTGTATTATCATATGATAAATTTATACAGACAATAGTAATTCCAGTTTATGAGACTATACGCTCCTTCACACAAAACATGCAAGCCAAGCCTACCACCTAAAAGATTAATATGAACTTCGCAAAAGTACAATTTTGACTTACATGGTCAAATTGACAATTTTGTCATGGTAATATTACTAGGAATCTATTTCCAACCTTGAATGTTCTAGTTCTTTTGTGCAACATACCGTATTTTAAAGTTAAAGCAAGTTCATATCAAGCGTTGACCTTAAATTTTTAAAAGATACCCATAAGATCAGATGCGATATCAGATCTTTCAGGGGGAAAAAAGGCATAACCTAATTCAACAGGGGAAACCAAAATTCCAGATTCTTTAACAATTCACTTTCTGGATTTCATTTCAACAAATGATAAAAGCGCGAGATCGGAATTTTGCTGCGAATTTTGTGTAAAAATATACGCCAAGTAATACGGATTAAAGAATGAATTCTACTAAAACAAACATGAAACTCGTAATGTAGCGAAATCCCAACATAACAACTAACATAAACAGATGGAAGGAGAAAATTTGGGTACCTTTGAGGCGCTTCAAGGATGGTTTTGGTCTTTGGAGATGTGTTTTTGGGGGTTGTTCTTGAGATCGGAAGATAAAAGCACCAAATTTTGGGCCGCCACTTTAAAATATGGAGGACAATTTCTGAGAATGTGGGCTTTACCACGTGTCGACTTTTTAGTGGTTGCTTGAATCCAATACGAAATCATTTTGCCTTTTTCATCTAACGACACAAAAAATGTTGACACTTCAAATTTTAAATTAAGTGAATTTGTTATGCCGCACTTGATTTTTTGTACTAATTTTAGGCTGTTTTTAGGGGTTTTACACTTAATTCAGTAAATGTTTTAGTCTCTTATTGGTATCTTTCTTAATTTTTATTATATTTGGTTGGGGATTTAGGTAAAGTATGGTATTATATTAAATGAATGATGGTTGGTAATTTAGTTGTGGACATGTCTATTCTATAATCATTTTTCTGAAAAAGTGAAATTGTTGTTATACCTGCTTACTTTCTCTACTAACCAGATCAGTTTCAAAAAAAAGAAAAAAAAAAGTATGACCTAATTACCATGAAGACTTCAATTTCTCCCTAAAATATTTATCCAGCTTTGATTATTCAATAAAGAATCCCTAAAGAAAGAAGTGATAAGCTACGAAATTGATAATAGTCTTTTTTTTCAATATTATAACATCTCCGATATCTACCCCACGGCAACAATTATTGTATTGTTGCTAATACGGACAATCGACAACTGCAGTGTAAGATTTCGTTTTTATTTCTCCTTCTCATCATGCAATTCCTTCTTCTTTCTTGATTCTTATCGTGCACTTACTCTTACTATATAATTGGTTTTTCCATTTTTGTTGTTTTTTTTCATTTAAATAGTACAACCAATATCTTAGCATTAGTTGGTTCATTATGGTAGCAAAAAAATGCAGAAAGAAACAAAACTCTTGTTGTAGAATTAGAATTACAGACACAATTGAAATCAATGATGTAGTCTTGATTTTTGAAAGTAGATATTGCTACTCCTGCTCTTCTCAAGTAATGTGTATTTGGGTTGATGTTACTAAGTTTTTTATGTTAATTAATTTATAAATAAACAAAGTTGGTTTTCATCTTTTTACAGATTGTTTAGTCATCTTTTTGAAGCATGCCAACTGTTTGCCAAAATACCACTACCCAATAAGGGTACATTAGGTGTTTGTAAAAATGTTTCATAGAGTACATGGGGCTTATCCGGCATAATATCAAAGACTTTAGCATATATCAAGGCTCTTTTGGAAATGTTTTCTTGCTTTGAAATCCTATCAAGTTAGTAACAACAAAAATGGCATGCTTTTACTTTTGTATGATGAATAAACCAACATGTTTTCAAATAAAAACTGTTCAAAAAAATGTCATTTCATAATACGTATTAGCAAATAAAAATTGTTCAAATATCATAAACCAGGTTCATTGTTTTATTTCCTTACCTGGTTCATATCTACCCATAATATTTTACTAAGATACTTACAATTGGTTGATGTCGTTATCCAATACGTGTCTCTGGATCTTCGACGTCCGCCGTTGTCGACCTCTTCATAGGCTCTACTGATCTCCAACTCTTATTTGCTCTTGAACAACATATCTTCAAGTTCAGGTACTTTTTTGAAAATCATGTCTTCACCTGCGTTAATATAATGTCCATGTTCTTCAATAAATGGTAGGTTGCTGGTATATAGAACTAGAGAAACTAAATGAGATTCTAAGAAAAAAAACACTAAAGTTAGGGGGTGATTGGCAGAGATTGAGGAAGAGAATTGAGAGTTTATGTTACGAGAATTATTTTAAGTCATTAGTTATAATTAGGTGAGAAAAAGACAAAAGCATGGAATACACTTGGAAATTTTGGGGTATTTTATATGTTTAAAATTTAATATAAATCATTCCTTAAATTGATTTATATTTCTCTCTCTCTCTCTCTCTCACACACACACACACACACACACACACACACACACATATATATATATATATATATATATATATATATAGAAGTAAGTTTAAATAAAAACAGTAAATAGTGTGAGAACGTAAAAACACTATGTTTATGTTATTATTCTGTAATGAATTTTGTATATGTGTATTGTTGAAGTAATTCTAATATAAATATTAACTTTCGATTAGTCATATATTCATTACAATGTTATTATTCTATTATAAACTTATGTATGTGCATTTTTGTAGTAAATTCTAATTTTAATGTTAACTTTTGACTATTCATTTATTCTTTGCTGAATAATGACATAAAACTGTCGATACAAAATTCATTGCAGAATAATAACATAAAAAAGTGTTTTTACGTTCTCACACTATTTACTGTTTTTTATTTGAACTGTCCCCTATATATATATATATATATATATATATATATATATATATATATATATATATATATATATATATATGCTTGTACAAAATTATTTTTTAGGGATATTGATAACAATATATTAGTATGTTGAATCATTTATTTGAGTTTAAACCAGACTATCATACATAGTCTGGTTTAATAAAGAAATAATTTCAACATATATAATATATTATATCGTTCCAAAATTAAGACCAAAAATTTTCATTTTTAAATTAATAAAACTATTATCCAAAACATCATCATAAACCATGGTGGAACAAGGTGTATCAACTACATCATAAAACATCAGAGTAATCATAAAATGTGAAACGAAATGGTGTGCACTGCAATCATCTCGGGCTCTTCCCATTCGAACCAGAAGTACCTGAAAACATAAACTGAAAACCGTAAGTACAAAGCTTAGTGAGTTCTCCAAAATATCACATATCATACATAATAAACATATAATGGGCCTCACTCGTCATCGGGCCTCGCCCGGCATCGGGCCCCGCCCAGTATACATATAAACATATAAACATATAATCATACAAACATGTGTAATAATCACAAGGATAAATAGCATACAGGATGGTCATCGAGCCTCGCCCGGTAAGCATACAAGCACATAACACATGCAAGAGTCACGCAGACATCTAGCATTCTGACATAACAAACCATGGGCCGACATTATTGCCTTCGACCCGCCAAACACAGTGAGGAAACTCACTTCTAGCTGCTGAAATACGCAAAAGAATCTCTGCCTGCTGGTCCGGAAAATCCTCGCGCTATCATCATCAAAATAATATCCAATTATTAATTGGATCTTGATCCAGCCAAGAAACTAAGTTACTTAGCCCATAACCAGGGCCAAAGACCATTTTACCATTTTTCTTACTTTGCCCAAAACCAAGGCACAACTCAACTACTCAAAAAGGCCCAAATCTTAAATGGAAACCCAAGGCCCAATTATGGCCCAATCTTCTAAATTGGGCCCAAAAACCATCATGGGGCCTAATTCCAAAGAAGCCCAATATACTAGCCAAAAGCCCAAATCATAAGTCTAATGGCCCAACAAGGCCCAAACTTAGGAAGCCCAAACTATGGCCCAATCCAAGAATCGCCAAGCCCAAACGCCCTACTGTTGAGTACACGGGGCGTACTCAGCTCGTACGCCCAACGTACTCCCCTGATTACTAGTTCTCGGTCACACCCCCAAACCGGAACGGCAGAAACGTTCGGGGGCGGAGGACGTCATGTTTAGTATTACAACACATGCATCATAGTAATCAAAGTAACAAACAGCCATTGTATTAATATTAATGTAATTGATTCACAAAAGATTTACTCCAAAAGTAAATAACAAAACAAGACATGAAGCTACTATGCTCCATCTTTTGAATCCCAATGCGCGTACCTGCCTACCAGTTTCCTGAGAATACAAGTTATTTTGAAAGAGTAGATCAACATTTAAGCTGGTGAGTTCATAAGTATTTTAGTGATGTAAAGTAAGTTGTAAGTTCTTTTTAGAAAAGTTCGCATGTTCCTCCAGAAGATCCTATATCTTTTATATGATGAATGACAGTAAAAATGACTCTGCAATTCCTTCTATGAGTACTAAATGGATACAAGTTATATACAATCTAGATCAAACAGGCAATCGGTTGTGTGAATCTGCCCTAAGCCCACAACCAAACAAGGAACAGGGAATGAGGCGGAAGTCACACATCCCATTGTTTGTTAGATCTTCATTGTATATAACCTTGGTGTATTCATTTGGTACTTACAGAGTTAACTGTAATAGTTCCTTTATTTGATGAAAAGAAATCATATATTTCCTTTAGTAAAAATGGTAACCACAATAGTTCATTCTATAATCACTTAGTTTATACTAGCTATATGTAATCTAATATCGAACGGATAGTTAATTGTGTGAATCTACCCTAAGCCCACAACCAAACAAGGAACAGGAAGTAAGGCGGAAAACACACATCCAACTACCTATCGGATATTAATTATATATAACCCTGATGTATGAACTAAGGTATTATAGAATTAACCACTAAAGGTCCTTTAAGTTATACTGGTTTAATAAGAAGTATTAAACCTCTTTTTATAAATAAGTTTCTCGTTTCACTAGCTCAATTGTGAACCGTTGTTTTTGGTAAAACGCTATTGTTTTCAGAAAGTACAATCAAAACTGTTTACCTTAAAAGTATGATGTTTACCATAGAAAATCCTATATTTTCTATAAAGGCCAACTTGATGTCCATGTTGTTCTAAGTTTGAAAAGCACAAGTATACTCCCTATACTTACTACAATGATGTATAGTTTTGTTGATATGTTAAACTGAATAAAGACTTGGTTGTTCTGGATACCTGATTACGACGCTACTACCCTCCTATGATTACCTAATACATACGAGTTGCATATAACCGAGATCGAATAGACGGTTGAATGGGTGAATCTGCCCTAAGCCCACAACCAAACAAGGAACAGGAAATGAGGCGGAAAACACACATTCCACCTGTCTATCGGACTTCAGTTCTATCTAACCCTAAAGTATACATTGGGTAATCACATAGTTAGTGTCCTTTCAGATTTGTTCATGAAAAGTTTATTACTACGTAAATATATCGTTGTTATCTATTTGTGAGTTTTACGACCATACTTATTGGACTGGTTAACCACGACGTATGGTAGACGTCGAAAAGAATATGGCATTTGTCACCCGCAGACCTGTCGGTCCGACTGTAGCTAACAGTGAGGTGTGGGATTGTCAATCCCGTATAGATCTATACACAAACTCACGCTCTCCCTCCAGGAGACTCTGGTCGTAAAGGTAGACTTTCGCTGGTACTTATATGAGTACAAGAAGACGTGTCTCACAAGCTGGATTAACGACTTTACAAGTAATAATATGGAAAACCCTTTTTTATATTTAACATATAAGTTTATAAAAAGATCCTTTTGTTCTTTAAGTTAAGCTTATTAAAGTTTATAAGCTTATTTCTATGTTCTATTCACTGTTTCATGTTCTACATAAAGTTTATTGGTACAAAGACATAATAAGCAGTTTATATTTTAAAACACAACATTTCTTGTGTTTTACTTGTATTCCCCCCCCCCCCCCTAAAAGCATTTAAAACCATTTAAAAGATTAATTATGGGGGTATGAACTCACCTTATGTGGGTGATTCAACTGAAGATTCGAGTAAGGATGAGAAGTTCCACGAATGAATTCCCGAAACACAAACGAGCCCTAAATGACATATAATGGCATATATAGGCATGTAATTAGTGTTTAAAACAACTAACATGCAAGGAAACAACCTTAGGGACTAGGAAACACTTGTAATGAAGTGTATCAATCACATGTGATTGATTAAAGGGAGTTCACGGCCACACAAAGTGTGTTTACGACCAAGGAAGAGTTTACGGCCAAAGATGCTTAAGTGTTTACCGCCAAAGCTTGATCTAAGAAGGGTTTACAGCCAAAGCATGATCTTATGAAGGGTTTACGGCCGTAAACTCTTGAAGATCATGCACTTATGGTTTGTTTCATGGCTAGGAATCAAGTGTTTCTTATGGATAACTAGATGATAGAAGAGATACTCACACTTTGGAGGTCTTTAGGGTGTTTACGGACCAAGAACAAGTGGGTGTTCTTGGTGTTCTTGGTGAAAAGATGAAGACTTGAAGATCTTGAAGGAAAAGTGATGAATTCATGGATGAAATCAAAGGGTTTCACAAGATCAAGAAGGATATCAAGAAACAATGGAAGAATCACTTACAATATTGAAGAGAAATGGAAGTGTTCTTGATGATACTTGAGAGAGAAATGAGTTTCAGCCTTGAAGACGTGAAGAATGATGAAGAAATGAAGGAATTTGATACATAAAGGGAAGGGGTTCACGGCTGCCTAGAGTTTACGGCCGTAAACTCTAGTTTGCAGCCGTAAACTCCTTGTGATGGAGTTTCCGGCTTGATTGCAACCCAATGAACTTTAGCTAACATATCCCTACACACAAACCTTAAGTAAACTAGGCTTAGAACCCTCAAATAGACCCCTGACGATGTTAAAAGATAGCAGAAACAAGGCTGGCCTTTGATTGGATTGATTGGCTTTACCAGATAGAAATTTTTGGGTTGTCACATTCTCGTCATTAGACACTTAATCGGTTAAGACCTTTTGCTATACTCCCATATCTGGTCCCTAAAGGTGACTTATCACGTAAAGTTGGCAACTTTACACACATGCATGGCTTAATGGGACCCAATACTCAAAAAGAAGCTTAAT